CGAAGTGTAGGAGTCGAGAGCGTTCGTTATTGGAATGTGAACAGTGTGCACCGTAGAGTTTTGTGGCGCTTACAGTGCCTAATATGGACTGTGGTGCTACGTAGCTCACTGGTGAGAGCATGCTACTCAAAATCGCAAGGTCCTGGATTCGATTTGCTAGCGCGAAGAAACCCATGTTCAAGTCTCCTTAAAAGGCCCTGCTGCCCCTGCTCACCTAGCAGTAAAAAAAAAATACATGCGCTGAAGACTTCATTAGTCGAGTACAGAGGTTAATTACGCAGTACCACCATTATCACCATCATCACCACCACCACCACCTCTCCCACCCACCCCCACTACCACCATCACGTATCATCACCATCAGCCATCATCGTCATCTACCACCACCACCATCATCTACCACCACCACCATCATCTACCACCACCACCATCATCTACCACCACCACCATCTACCACCATCACCTACCACCATCACCATCTGCCACCATCATTATCTTCCACCACCATCTACCACAATCACCATCTACCACCATCATCTACCATCACCATATACCACCATCATCTACTACCATCGTCATCTACTACCATCATCTGCCTCCTATAACCAGTTTGTTTGGTTATAGAGCGGTTGTTCAATGATAAACGTCTTCGGAGGCTTCTTTATTCTCAAAGTCGTGGTTGGTACACAGGCTTGTGTGTTTGTGCCCATGGCCCGGGAGGGCCATGCCCACGAGGGAGAGAGGAGTAGGCTTGTTGACTGTTTCTAGGCCGCTGAGTAAGTGAGAGGGAGTGGGACCAGCGTCCCACTGACCTGGGCAGGCCTAGAGAGGGCAGCACCTGAGTGCCGCGAAATATGAACTAAGATGGCAGACAGCATAGGCTGTCTGTGCAGACAGTACAGACTGTCTACACAAAATCACCATCTACCACCATCATCATCTACCACCATCAACATCTACCATCACCATATACCACCATCATCTACCACCATCTACCACCACCGTCTACCTTCATATAAGATTCTTGGAAGATGCTTATTATGTAAATTAACCACCAAAGTTTCTAAGTAGTTTATTACGCAGAGTTTGGTGCACTTTTTTCCTTACACTTTGTGTCCATTTTTGTCCGTGACTGATGAAGATGATACCTGTGACTCCCTGGTGACTTGTGAGAGTCCCTGGTGACTTGTGAGAGTCCCTGGTGACTTGTGAGAGTCCCTGGTGACTTGTGAGAGTCCCTGGTGACTTGTGAGAGTCCCTGGTGACTTGTGAGAGTCCCTGGTGACTTGTGAGAGTCCCTGGTGACTTGTGAGAGTCCCTGATGACTTGTGAGAGTCCCTGGTGACTTGTGAGAGTCCCTGGTGACTTGTGAGAGTCCCTGGTGACTTGTGAGAGTCCCTGGTGACTTGTGAGAGTCCCTGGTGACTTGTGAGAGTCCCTGGTGAATTGTGAGACTCCCTAGTGACTGGTGACTTGTGTGAGTCAGAATCAATAGTGCTGTGTGGGAAAAACATGAAATCTGTTGTAGGTGGTGGAGGCTGTGTGGTGGAGGCTGTGTGGTGGAGGCTGTGTGGTGGAGGCTGTGTGGTGGTGGCTGTGTGGTGGTGGCTGTGTGGTGGTGGCTGTGTGGTGGCGGCTGTGTGGTGGTGGCTGTGTTGTGGTGGCTGTGTGGTGGTGGCTGTGTGGTGGTGGCTGTGTGGTGGTAGGAGTGTGGTGGTGGCTGTGTGGTGGAGACTGTGTGGTGGTGGCTGTGCGGTGGTGGCTGTGTGGTGGTGGCTGTGTGATGGAGACTGTGTAGTGGTGGCTGTGTGGTGGTGACTGTGTAGTGGGGACTGTGTTTTGGAGACTGTGTGGTGGAGGCTGTGGTGGTGACGGCTGTGTGGTGGTGGCTGTGTGGTGGAGGCTGTGTGGTGGAGGCTGTGTGGTGGAGGCTGTGTGGTGGAGGCTGTGTGGAGGAGACTGTGTGGAGGAGGCTGTGGTGGTGGTGGCGGCTGTATGGTGGAGGTGTGTGTGGTGGTGGCGGTGTGGTGGAGGCTGTGTGGTGGCGGTGTGGTGGAGGCTGTGGTGTGGTGGCGATGTGGTGGAGGGTCTTATAATTATCTGTGAATGTTAAATGAGTCGAATCACGCATTAACTGACAAGTTATTAATGGGAGCCTGTGTTGTGTTGGCGAGAGAGAGTGTTGTGTTGGTGAGGGAGTGTTGTATTGATGAGGGAGTGTTGTGTTGGTGAGGAAGCTGTGTTTTAGCTGAAGGAAGAATTTAATTACTGTCATTAGGTACACTGATACTTCTTAGCCAACACTTGAATTCTTCCAGTAGGTACTAGAGTCTCTTACACACTTGACTGTAATGTTATCTCTCATAAGATCTGATATTACATCAGGACTGCAGTCTTCTAATGCAATGTTCCCTGGATACATCCCCACACCAGTCTACTAACGCACAGCTGCATGCATTTACTTCTTGGTATACAGGAGCATGTAGAGTGCAAGGAGGGTGATGTAGGTAGTAAGGGGGCGGGATATTTTATGATGTGGGGAGAGGTGTTGACCAAGGGGGTTGAAGCTGTCAGTTTTAATACAGCTGAAGGAGTGACCTCGTAGAAGAGTATGTGATTATTGGTCCAGAGTGTGTGTGTAGAGGAGGGGCAGGTTTGTGTTGATGGTGTTGTTCATAGAACGGTTATTGGTGTGTGGGGTGAGGGAGTGGCAGCAAGGAGGAACTTGACGTGTGAGGGGACGGAGGAAGAAGGCAGGGAGTTGACGTGGGGGGGGGGGGGGATCTCGGAAGCAGGAACCACCAGTAGTTCCACACTACTTTTGTGGAACTAAACACGCGTATCTACTCTGGCTGACACATATATCCATTTTAATGTTGATGAAAGGGCAGTGCTGCGATCACAGAGAAGAAGCGAAGCTCAAAGAGGCATAGAAACTTACCCATCAATATTACTTTGTCCTAGTAGGATGGGAGACCATGGGACCAAGGGCCAAATGTGCAACAGGCTTTCCCAGCAGCTCAGTGTGGCGATCCAGAGGGGGAGTGCCTGTTTCATTCTTGGGTTCCCATCCAGCTTCGGAGAAGGTGCAGGAGAGACATAATTTCTCTTATATTGCTAGTGATGTATACATGTTACTTTTAATCAGTTAAATACGCGTGAAAAGAAGTGTTAGGTGAATAAAATATTCAAGAGTCTCAGGGAGAGGATTTACTTTCGTTCCCTAAAGGCCTTTTATTTGTATACCAAAACTAATTTATAAACTAAACTAAACATTGCTATTGTTCTTGCTACTGTTACTGTTTCTGTTGTTGCTATTGTTCCCGCTCCTCCTGTTGCTGTTGTTACTGTTCCTATTTTACCACAATTTATAATCTTCGGAAATTATAATTTTTACACACATAGATTTCTTTTCGTTAATATAGAGTATAATGTTGATTTGTTCCACTTAGTATTAATGCGAAATTGTTCACAAAGTTTCTAAAAACCATTCATAAATTTATTCTAATACTTTTGACAAGTAAGTTATTTTTAAATTGTGTTTTCTGTTGTTATACGATACATATGTACTGTAATTTATTGTGCTATAATTTCGAAGGTTTATCACGTGGTTTATCGTTGAAACTGTTCTTATGGTGTACTATCACCTTGCTAATTTCTCTCTCTCTCTCTCTCTCTCTCTCTCTCTCTCTCTCTCTCTCTCTCTCTCTCTCTCTGTACATCTCTCTATCTGTCTCTCCATCTCTCCTCTCTCTCTCTCTCTCCTCTCTTCTCTCTCTTCTCTCTCTCTCTCTCCATCTCTCTCTCTCCTCTCTCTCTCTCCATCTCTTTCTCCATCTCTGTCTCTCTCCATCTCTTTCTCCATCTCTCTCTCTCTCCATCTCTCTCCATCTCTCTCTCCATCTCTTTCTCCTCCTCTCTCTCCCATCTCCTCTCTCCACTCCTCCTTCTCGTATCTTCTTCCACTCTTTCTCAACTCTCTCTCAACACAAAACACACGTGTTATGAATCGACCCCTGCAACCACAGTTAGGCGAGTATACACACACTTTGATGTCGGTAAAGGGCTCTTGATCCAAGGATTGGAGCTACCTTACTTTTCCTCGGATAAAACCTGATTACCTCTTTCCCAGAAGTTGTACGATAGCTCAGGCTGTAGTGCTTCCCATGAAAATAAACAGTAATGTAAAAAATGAAAAATGACGCTAATTGACTTAAATTCTTCTAAATGAGGATAATGTATCAATAATGTCTACATCTATGTCCTCAATCATTGTACAACTTTATGCCAATCTGTGAAATCATTGTTGATTTCCTGAATGAAGGTTAACTATTCTATCTTATTTAAAGATGGTATCTTGGGCACCTCTGCAAAGACAGTGATTATGTATACGTGAGGTGAAAGTGTTGAATGATAATGAAAGTATTTTCTTTTGGGAGATTTTCTTTTTTTTTAGGTCACCCTGTCTCGGTGGGAGACGGCCGACTTGCTGGGAAAAAAAATGCACCGTCTCTTCCGTGAATCACGTTATGGTTTTTGGTGTTCACTTTGATGATTTGTAACCGGCCACTCTAGTGTTTCTCAGATAATATTGTGTAATATTCTCGCCTGGTCTTCTAGAATACAGTTTGAGGAATATTAGATGTTTCCAGTAAATTGCGTCTTTTAATTAATGCAGACGGAAGATCTCTGTACGTTCTGTAGATAATCGTTTTCACCAGTCTTAGGGTCGTTAGTGTACAAGTGTTTATCAGAAGTGTGTCAGCATTGACTTGGCATCTCTTGGAAAGTTCATGCTGTTCAACCTATCTTATTTTTTTTTTACAGCTGTGGTAATAACATTATTGTGTTCTTTGAATGTAGGATGTTTCAACATGATTACCTTCAGGCTTTTGATATTTCTAGTATCATACTGTTCGGTGTTTAACTAGCCTGTGGGGTAAAGTAATCATTACTGCATAAATCTAACGAGTGGGTTGCAAAATGAGGATCAAACACTGTAACATTTCACAGTTTTTATTACAGTGACAGGTACAAAGTCTTCAAGAGCATCATACACCGTCCATGACACTCGTCCAGGGTGGGTGTGTGAACTCATCTCGGAGTCTCACACCCTCTCCTGGCTACACACAACACTAAACGTACAACACTTAGCCAACTGACACTTTGAAAGGTAGTAAAACTTGAGTACACTGTTGAATACACACCTTGAGGAGTAGACTTTTTGTTTATACAAGATTTGCGTGTGTGTGTGTGTGTGTGTGTGTGTGTGTGTGTGTGTGTGTGTTGTGAAAGTAAAAAGTATATGTCATTTCTGACTTTATGATTTTTTCATTGAAGTTGGACTTGTCTCGTTTCCATGAGCATGAAAATAAATAGGCTTCACCTTCAACAAAGACTGAACGAGGAGTGTGGAGACAAACACAGAAGAAAGCCAGTAACTAGTGGTTGAAAATAAGCAATATACAGGAAGAGCTGTACACTCGGTATTTACAGTCAGCCACACTCTTCTTAACACAACATTGTTCTTGCTGTACATCTACACCGTGGGATCACTCCACGTCCTTACTTACGATGACATGAGTACATGTCTCAGCATTCAGACACTCTAACACAGGCACGCACTTGTCTTCGCCACGAGGGCTAAAAGTATTGTTAAACATTTCCGTCAGCAGCAGCATTAGTAATGGAGTAAGATTCACATCCTGTCAGTGGCGGCGTGTGGTGCTGGTATTAAGGCTGGGCATGGTTCAGGGGATCATCGCCCCCGTAGTCCGCTCTCACATCAGACTGGATTGAGATGGTGGATGAAATATTGAGTTCCTGTGTTCGCTCTCCCAGCCAGAACACTAGCCACTCATGACATCCTGTGGGTGTGTGTGCGTAACTTCACGACACTTAACCCTAGGACGTGATTCCAGGACGCGATTTTCAAGAATTCTTCAGTCAGAGGAACGAGGAAAAAGGGAGCTGTTTATTCTTAGGCTTGAAATCTCGTTCCTGCCTCACCAAGTTGGACATAAGGCTAGAGGTTCTGTGGTTAACATTAGATATAATACACATCTAGTTTCTACTTTACTAACATGGTTTTGTCGACAACATTTATATATATATATATATTATTTTCAGGATGTAAGTACTTGTTTTCTACACTTCTAAAAAAAATATTATGAGAGAAACCCGAATGTTCTTTGTGATTACTTCAAGTAATTATTGGTTGACTTAGAATAAATTTCCATGTGAAGCAAGAGTGATGGAAAAGCAAGGATGTGAGCCACTGACTTTATCTTGTAACTCAAGGGTAGGCAACTGAAAGAGTCGCCAGGGCCAGGGCCACCAGAAGGGCCAGAGTTGGGAACATGGTCCTAGCACTACTGTTAAAACCAACCACCACCTCCCGCTGAGAGGTTGTGCTCAGTGAATCACTCTTGGGCTTCTCTGGTCCTACCATGGACATCCTGGGTGGCTCGGGGGTGGTGGTAGTTGTGGTAGTGGTTGTGGTGGTAGTGGTTGTTGTGGTGGTGGATTTGTAAAGCACTGAAGTCTGTTCGGGGATGTCAAGTTGTGTGTTGTTATGGATGAAGTATGGCGGGGAGTACTGAGCCCTGAGCAAAACCAACCGCTCGTCTATGTGAAGACCCTGAATCACCCTGGAGGTCTGGCTGCCATCTTTGTAAACAGCGGTCAAAGTACCGACGTACTGAGCCTCAGTTTTGCGGACAGTACCAATCATCTTGACCTTGACGCCGGTACCTGGCGGCAAATCGTATTCGAGAAGATCTTGATATACTCTATCCAGCTCGTTTCGCACACCCCAAACAAGGTCCCTTTCTTCGGCCTCTGGCGGGGGAGAGACCACATGGGCAGACAGACCAGTATAGGTACCCTTGATGAGGCCCCAATATGACATTTGCCGAACCACTACTTCTCTGTCTTCTACAACGCGTTGGCGTGAGGGTCCTGGATTCAGTAGCATGGCTTCAGCCAGGACAGAGTCCTCGTGTGTTTTAGAGATCCGGCTGGTATCCATACTTATTGCTCGAAGGTCGTAGCGTTCAGGTTCGTCTTCGACAAGCACATTGGCTTCGTCGACTTTTTCCACGGCGGTTCCAGCCACAAGATGAGCGCGTCTTTCGTGAGGGGCCAGGAAACCTGCTTGGGGAAAGTCATCTTCGCCTTCACGCACAGCTAAGAAACGCTTCGTGTCTGCAGACACGGCATTATGTGGTGGCGCCAGATATCTATCCCAATTCTCGTACCTCACTCTTGCTGATCCATTAACGGAGATGAGGATTTCGAAGTTGTCCTCGATACGCAAGACGTTGCCTAGGAAGGGCACAGTGCACACGCCAGAGTGCATGGCTCCGGCCATCCAGTTACTGTGCTTCTCCGCCCTGCACCACACTGTGGCAGGGTCGTTTTCGGTCACAACCACAGCGTGTGGTGGAAGTTCACTTCCGTGTCCAGCCACCCAGGCCAGCGTGGACGAGGTCACTGTACTGCCTCCTTCACGACGGATCTTGGCCATCTGAAGGCTGGCAAAGGCGCCGCTCACCGCCGCTGCCAGCATACACACCCTGCAACAACAACAACAACAACATGAGTTAGTGTAAGCCCAACTTTCGTTTATGGCACAGTTTTTAATAAGCTTGTTATTGGTATCATGAGCTCCGTGGACCGTATCAAACCAGGGTCTCCTAATGTATGGAAATGTTACGGGAATAAGACCTATTGAGAAACACATAGAAAAGCGAAGATCAGTGAGAAAAAACGTACATGCCTTTATGTTGAAGAACATGTTTCACAGGACTCACGAAATCATAATAACACGATTGGAAACTAACCAGGGTACGGGTGGGGTTAGAACCCATTGACAAGTGAATCTTAAAACTCAGGCCAGTGTGTAAACCACTGGGCCAACTAGCTACAAAAAGATTCATATAACTAGGTATATTTGTACACCATAGGAAGGTTAGCATGGACCACCATTCTAACCACAAATGCAAGTTTTTACAGATGAATCTCCCGCCAGTGTGGCTGTGACGAACTCTAGCTCAAGTCCCCTCAGAGCCGTCATCATGGCCTGGAGTTTCACGACTCACTTGCCACGGGTTCTAACCCCACCCGTTCCGTAGTATATTTTAAACGATTATATAATACCAGCAACATGTCGTGATCAAGTTAAAATTATTTTCATGTACACATTTTATGACAAAAAATACGCTTTAAAATGAGTTAAAAGGGATATCTTGTTTAATACTGACTCTTACATGTTGATGAATATCAGTGTTGATATCTACCTGGAGGGTTGTAATAACATATATACCTGGAGGGTTGTAATAACATATATACCTGGAGGGTTGTAATAACATACCTGGAGGGTTGTAATAACATATATACCTGGAGGGTTGTAATAACATATATACCTGGAGGGTTGTAATAACATATATACCTGGAGGGTTGTAATAACATATATACCTGGAGGGTTGTAATAACATATATACCTGGAGGGTTGTAATAACATATATACCTGGAGGGTTGTAATAACATATATACCTGGAGGGTTGTAATAACATACCTGGAGGGTTGTAATAACATATATACCTGGAGGGTTGTAATAACATACCTGGAGGGTTGTAATAACATATATACCTGGAGGGTTGTAATAACATATATACCTGGAGGGTTGTAATAACATATATACCTGGAGGGTTGTAATAACATATATACCTGGAGGGTTGTAATAACATATATACCTGGAGGGTTGTAATAACATATATACCTGGAGGGTTGTAATAACATATATACCTGGAGGGTTGTAATAACATATATACCTGGAGGGTTGTAATAACATATATACCTGGAGGGTTGTAATAACATATATACCTGGAGGGTTGTAATAACATATATACCTGGAGGGTTGTAATAACATATATACCTGGAGGGTTGTAATAACATATATACCTGGAGGGTTGTAATAACATATATACCTGGAGGGTTGTAATAACATATATACCTGGAGGGTTGTAATAACATATATACCTGGAGGGTTGTAATAACATATATACCTGGAGGGTTGTAATAACATATATACCTGGAGGGTTGTAATAACATATATACCTGGAGGGTTGTAATAACATATATACCTGGAGGGTTGTAATAACATATATACCTGGAGGGTTGTAATAACATATATACCTGGAGGGTTGTAATAACATATATACCTGGAGGGTTGTAATAACATATATACCTGGAGGGTTGTAATAACATATATACCTGGAGGGTTGTAATAACATATATACCTGGAGGGTTGTAATAACATATACCAACAATGTCAAACATTTGCATACGGTTATTATTTGATATATTTTGCACAGAAATGTCTTTGAATATTTTTCCCTTTCAAGGTGTTGACGCTGAGCTCTCCTTCCTCTGATCAAACCTGATTACCTCCCATTCCGTAGCCGCCGTATGACTCTGTTATACCTTTGATGAGTTCCGAGAGATTTTCTACTCCCGAAGCCAGGCCCTGGGTTAGGTTTGTCTGATGCTTGCCTGGTCAACCAGGCAGTTGCTGCTGGCGGCCCGCTGCTCCACATATCCATCACAGCCTGGTTGATCTGGCACATGGTGGAGACACTTGTTCGGTTTCCTCTGAAGACTTCGACACTTGTGCCAGCAGTATTTCTGATATCTTCAGGTAAGATTTTAAAATAGTCTCGGACCACGGGTGTTGATACAGTGTTCTCTTATTGTACCATCGGTGCCCCTGCTTTTTCACTAGGTTTATTTTACACTTCCTCTCGTATCACTCCAGTATGTTGTCTTGGCAGTGTGCAGATTTAGGATTCGACTTACAAGTACTCTCAACATATATATTATGCATCTCTCTTTCCTTCGCTCCAGTGAGTACATATCTAGGACTTTAAGCCCCTACGAGCTCAGTCACCTAGACTATTGTAAATCTGGAGCTGCCTTCCACACCATGGATATGATGTACACATTACCAGTCCATTTTTACAAAGCGTGCAGATTTCAACGTTACCTGAGCTTGATGAGACTGCGCTGCCAGATATACTTTTTACATTTTTATATAACCAACCCTAACTTAATCTAAAAGTAAAAAAAAAAAAAGTTTTAATTACTGGGAACGTCCAGATACTAGTGCTGGAAAAATCTCACAACAAAACAAACGCTTTTCAATTATTATAGTATGACGCCAAACATACCACTGTGGCGACACAGCTTAAAATTAATTAGTGTTGGGGGAGGGTAGTACCTCTGTGTATATAAGGAGAGAGGACGGGTAGTGCGTTTGTGTATAAGGGGAAGTGTAGTACGTTTGTGTATGTGTGGAGGGGTAGGATAGTACGTTTGTGTATGTGTGGAGGGGTAGGATAGTACGTTTGTGTATGTGTGGAGGGGTAGGATAGTACGTTTGTGTATGTGTGGAGGGTAGGATAGTACGTTTGTGTATGTGTGGAGGGGTAGGATAGTACGTTTGTGTATGTGTGGAGGGGTAGGATAGTACGTTTGTGTATGTGTGGAGGGGTAGGATAGTACGTTTGTGTATGTGTGGAGGGGTAGGATAGTACGTTTGTGTATGTGTGGAGGGGTAGGATAGTACGTTTGTGTATGTGTGGAGGGGTAGGATAGTACGTTTGTGTATGTGTGGAGGGGTAGGATAGTACGTTTGTGTATGTGTGGAGGGGTAGGATAGTACGTTTGTGTATATGTGGAGGGAGAAAGGGTAGTACATTTGTGTGAGTAGGTAAAGGAAGAGTAAAACGTTTATGTATGTTTGGAGGGGACGAGGTAGGGTAGAGCGTGTGACCCGGCCGTGTGACCCCGGCACGCTAGACATACCAGGTCACAGTAGTCACAACAGATCAGTATCAAGACGTGGTTGAATTACTGGCCTCGTGGAATGACCCTTTTTCTAAGCAGCTGAGTTTAGTAACATAATTAGTACCTGAGGACGATCTCCGTAAGAAAAAGATTATATACCAGGAGAGCTGGGTGAACCAGCAGGCACTGAAAGTGTGTGTTGGGGAGAGGGAGTGAGAGGCATTCCATATAGCACTGGTACTGTATGATGCTTGTCATGTTCCTCTGGCACTGAGGGTGATGGTCGTCATCAGGGATGAAACTCTGCTCTGTCCATCACTAATTTGAGTGTGATCCTCGCCACTGGAGCACTACGAGTCATTGATATAACAACCAACACACTTAATAACCCGCCTGCATAAATAACCCTCTCCTCTTCCCCTCCACCATTCCCCTTCCCTCCCACATCCCCCTTAACTTTATACTTCCTCCCACATGACATTACCAATATGAAGATGGTGAGAAAAGTGAAGATGAGGAAAGTGGTAGTGATGGTGATAGCAGGAGAAGGCGGATGAAGACTGTGGCTGAAGGTTACTGCGAGCAAGGAAGAGGGAAAAAAGGTAGTGGTTAAGGGAAGGTGAGAGAGAAAGATAAAGAAGGAAGGTAGGTGAAAGGAGAAAACTGGTATTGTAATAGATAGTAACACAGGGCTAGCCCTTGCTTGGCATGTCCAACTCACAAAACTCTCATGTACCTGTCCAGCCTATTTTTAAAGTGATACAAAGCTCCGGCTTCACTAACGCTACCCTCATTGATCCAATAACACCTGAGATGCAATTTGAGGAAAAAATAAAAGTTTAAATAGACATTTTTCACTATAAATTTTATTTTAAACATCAGTATGTCGGACCGAGTGAAATATGTTCGAGTGATTCCTGACAGTTCGTATTCTCGTAATTTCTCTTGTACATCTTAGGTTTGGTATTGGACTTGATCGCAAGGAGCGATGATACTGATGCAGTTAACAGATATAAGTGTACCATGATTCAAAGCTTGATCAATGCAACTGTGGTGTCTTACATCCGGCCACCTGGAGGCGCGTCACTGGGACACAGCATATCATGTGCTACCACCTGAGGGTACGGAAGCCTTCTACGAGCCACTAGGGAGGGTGTGGCTGGGTCGAGGGGGTATTATTGTCGGGGTTGGGTTACCTCACCCCTCACCCCACTGCCCAACTGATCCCTTACTGTGTGAGTTACTATCCTCCCAGAAGTGCCACATGCCTATGTACCTTCCTTCCCTTCCATCTTGCATCGTCCCTGTCTTATCCTCCTCTCACTACCTTGATAAGTAAAACACTTTGTCTGAATTTTTGGGGGGTTACCTGGAGGTTACCTGGAGGTTATTCCGGGGATCAACGCCCCCGCGGCCCGGTCCACGACCAGGCCTCCCGATGGATCAGGGCCTGATCAACTAGGCTGTTACTGCTGGCCGCACGCAGTCCGACGTACGAGCCACAGCCCGGCTGATCCGGCACCGACTTTAGGTATCTGTCCAGCTCTCTCTAGCTCTCCTAGATAATTTACACTATGATAATTGTACCTATATGTAACTGTGCTTAAATAAACTGAACGTTTTGCCAACACAGACGACTTCTTCAGACAAAACCCCTCAAGGAAGGTTCCTTGACGTTGGTGAGGGGCTCTTGATTTAGGGAACTGGATCTGTGCTCCAGTTCCCCGAA